CAAAATGGAGCACTTTTGGTCCTTTGAAGTCTACACTCTTTTGGAACATGGGAGATACATACCTGCAAATATATATATATATATATATATATATATATAACAGCCAAAATTAATAATTTTCAACAAATATTAATTAATATTAGTAATAATTCATTTTTATTTATTAACAACTAATTTTTATTTACAATTAATAGTAATAAATAAGGTTATAACTGAAAAAATAACAACAAATTTCTCATAAACACTCTAACTAGTGTTTTAATAAGCTAGCTTATGTCTATTCAAATATACCAAGAAATAAACTAGATCATGTTTATAAACTTTTTTTAATTAAAAATGAAATAAAATAATAACGTTAAAAAAACGTGATAAATGTCTTACATACCATTTTAATGGGGTAAAATGCTTGAAAAATATTTTAGTTTTTTTTTTCTTTCTTGAAGCATTTTTATTTACATTTAAAAATATATATTTTTAAAATCGATATTTTAAAGGTTTATGACTTTTAGGGGTCGTTTACCATACACTTACCCGGATAAGCGCTTATCAAGTTAAATTACCTTACGAGATGAATATAGTAAGAACTAAAAACTTTACCTAGTAAGAGCGAGACAAGGATCAAGAGTCTTACCCGGTAAGTGAGGGGTGACGACTTTTACCATGGTAAGCGCTTAGTGGATAAATTGTTACATACGGTGCCGTTTTGGTGGACTAAAGTCTTACCCGATAAGTTAGTGATAGTGTTAAATTTTACTGATAAACGTTTTCCCGATAAGTGTTTGGTAAACGGCCTCTTAGAAACATATATATTTTAATATTTGTTGGGTCATTTGACCAATAACCGGTGACTATAATGTCTATCTTTTTAAAGTGTAGAATTCAAAATTGAAAAAGTGACAAAAAAACACACATTTACTAACTCACCACCGATAACTGCTTCTAGATGTTAAAATGTATGATTCAGTTTCTTAGGAGATAAGCTGTAAAAATGTATGGTTGCTCCAATGTGGTCATCAATTTCAGTGTTATCAGGGTCATCGGAAGTTTGTCTGACTGTTAACTTTCAAACGTTATAAGATTAATCAAAATGCATGTAAACTAATCCAAAAACTTACTTTTAGCAAAAAGATGTGACCATGACGGTTATAAACATCAAAATGACAACGTTGAAAGTATGTTGTTTAAATTAAAAATCGAGTAAAATGATGCTTTTTTAATACAATTTATCTGATACTGAAACTGTTAAAACAGTAGTTATTCGAATGTAAAAAGAATGATAGAGCTCAAACAAAACCTTATCTTTCTTTAATGTAAATCATCGAACTAATAATTGAATAATTAAAATACTCAATCATTGATTTCAAAATAAATTATGTACCAATAATAGAATTTTTTATTAATTTTTTTAATCATATTTTGATTTTAGTATATTAACATTTGTAATTTATTATTACATACATTTACAATTTATTAATACGTTAGAACTTTATAAGACTAAGGGGTTGTTTACCAAACGCTTACCCAGGTAAGTGCTTACCAAGCAACCTTACTTCACCGAATGAATATAGCAAAGACCAAGAATCTTACCCGGTAAGAGCGAGACAAGGATCAAGAGTCTTACCCGGTAAGTGAGGACGACGACTCTAACCATGGTAAGCGCTTACCGGGTAAATTGTTGTATACTATGTTGTTTTGGTGGACTAAAATCTTACCCGGTAAGTACATAATAGTGTTAGATTTTATCGGTAAGCACTCGCCGGATAAGTGTTTGATAAACGGCCCCTAACTAGTAACAAACAAATAAACATGTTCAAAATACTAAAAAAACAAAATACTCTATAAAACTGATAACCAATAAAAAAAACTATCATGTTGACTCAAAAATTCATATAATAAAATTGCCTGAGATGAAATAAAGATGTGTTATGTTGAATTGTTTGGGGCAAATTACATGAAAAAACAATGTACTTTAACTTGATTCCTATTTTGGATAACATACTTTCAAAACTTTCATTTTGGTACCTAAGATGTAAAGTTTTTTAAACATTTCAGTACACGAGTAACCTGTTGAAACATTAACCGATTACCATGCTGATGTGGTGAGTGATTTGACTTACCCTTTGAATTTAAAATTCAATAAAATTTTATACTGAGTTGGATACCACATCACTCTCCACATCAACATAGTAACAGGTTTATGTTTCAACCGGCTACACAGATACTTAAATATTTAAATCTAATAATTTAAATACGATAGAAATTAGTTTTCCATATCTTTTAAGAAGTTCTCTTATCTAGTTTTATTTTAACTGTTTGTTATACGATTGTCTTGATAAATATTAATTATAAAATAAATAATAACTCCATGTACATTTCGAGACAAAAATATTTCACAATCTAACTCATGATGTTCGATATTTGTCCATAATTAATTGAATTAACAAAATAATATGACGAACAATATATAAATAAATGTCTTGTTCTATTCAGATTAAATAATGACCTGATCAAGCCACAAAAAAAACATACATAACGATAAATATTATTACGTGAAGATTCTTTGTATACTTTCGACTAATATCATTTAATGTTTTTATATAATTCATGTTTCATTTATATACGATAGTTCGCTTTCCAGACCGATAGGTTTTATGCCTGTAATTTGATACCAATTGCTATCAATCCTCAAAGAATACTCAAGACGCCAAAACAATTTTATTATTATTATTTAATTGATTTGTCTAATTACTATTATACCCGTCTCAAGTAAATACAAGCCGTTGATTTCGAGAAACCCACATAACAAACCTATCTTTATCATCAACAATGCTATAAGTGGTCATCATTCGACGAAAGCGCCACACAAGACTTTCTTCAAATAACATCATCATCTTACGATATCTTTATACAGAAAATTACACATAACAAATTCAAATTAAAGACGAAAAGTGGAATATTTGACATCTAAAAAACGAAATAAATCCGTCACCTTATCATACAAACTTATGTAGCAATAAGAACACTTACACATGTGGCTTATGACAACGATTGGTACATTGACAATGCCCAAACGAATGAAATTATTGACACCAAAAAGGACATTTTGTGACATATATACCCTTGGGTAGGGTCGCCCCCTCATATCCTTTCACCAAAAGTTTGGTACCCCACTCGTCTTTTTCCCCCAAGTCCCAATCTATCACTCTTGGTCCCAATCCATAAGATAAGAAAATCGAATGAAATAGTGATTCTTATCTCGTAAAATTGGTCTCTTTGCTGTTTATCTTCTGATTTTATCCAAATGTCACTACTTTTATAAGTGACACCTACTTAACTTACAGAGATAGCTAAAAGACAAAGAAACAAAGATGGTGATATCCGGATAAAACTGAAAAAAGAAGGGATAAAACGGTCAATTTCCCTTATTCTCTTACGTGTATGATTACCCCCCCAATTTGATTAGTGCTTCCTGTCCATTGAGGTTTCTTTATATTCTTTCTTCTACTCATCATGTCTCTGGTCTCAAGATTCTGATTCTTCGGTCTGTAAGTCACATGTTTGTATGAAATCCTGTTCTTTAATGGTGAATAGTTCAAGGGTTTTCTTCAAAATTTGATTTGGTATCAGGTTACGATATAAAGATTTCAACTTTTGAATCTTGGATCTGATAACTTTTTAGCTTGAAAAGTTCTCACTGTTTCTTTTGAGCTTTTTAAGGTTCTTCAGTTCTTGAACCTTTTACTTGCTGTTTGATTCCTCCAAATGGCGTTTTTTGATGTTAAGTTTGGTGAACAAGAACTGATTCGTGCTGTTGTCCCGTTATTGAAGCTTTTATGTCTTACTGTTATTGGTATACTTCTTGCACACCCAAGAACACAACTCGTCCCCAAATCCACTTTCAAGCTTCTTAGCAAGCTCGTTTTTGCCCTTTTTTTGCCCTGCACAATCTTTATTCATTTGGGTGAATCGGTTTCTCTGAAGAATTTGGCTTTATGGTGGTTTATACCAGTGAATGTGATCATCAGTACTGTAATTGGCTGTGTTTTGGGGTTGCTGGTGGCGGTGATTTGCCGGCCGCCGCCGGAGTTTTTCCGATTCACGGTCATCGTGACTGGATTTGGGAACACGGGTAATCTAATTCTCGCAATCGTTGGTTCGATTTGTCATGATTCGGACAACTCGTTCGGTCCATATTGCCATACAAATGGTACAGCTTATGTATCTGTAGCTCAGTGGGTATCTGTGTTTTTAGTTTATACCTTGGTTTACCATATGATGGAACCTCCAATGGAGTATTATGAAGTTGTTGAAGAAGACGGTGAAATCGAGATCGTTCGCGAGGATTTACGTGCGAACGATCTCAGCAGGCCACTCCTGCACGAAGCGGAATGGCCTGGTATAGAAGATAAAGAAACCAAGCATTGTAAAACGCCCTTTATCGCACGGGTTTTCGCGAACGTGTCGGATTTCTCACAGACTTCCATACCCGACCCCGATTCGCTAGAAGACGGTCACGAGCGGCCGAGAAGCCCGAAGTCGATTAGGTGTTTAGCCGAGCCACGGATGGTTAGAAAGATTAGAATAGTGGCTGAGCAAACCCCGGTTCGACATATCCTTCAGCCGCCAACGATTGCCACATTTCTAGCTTTAGTCATCGGGTTGGTTCCGTTTTTGAAGTCGATCGTGTACGGTGACGACGCACCGCTATCGTTCTTGACCGATAGTCTAGACATAGTGGCTGGAGCCATGGTCCCTTCAGTGATGCTGGTTCTTGGAGGCATGATTGCCGAAGGTCCTAACGAATCTAAACTCGGAATACGGACCACAATCGGGATTCTAGTCGCACGGCTCTTGATTCTTCCGACGCTAGGAATAGGAGTCGTTTTATTGGCTGATAAACTGAATTTGCTGATTGAAGGCGACCGGATGTTCCTATTTGTGCTTCTGTTGCAATACACCACACCAAGTGCGATCTTATTTGGTGCGATCTCTAGTTTGAGGGGCTACGCGGTTAGCGAAGCCTCGGCGCTCCTTTTCTGGCAGCACGTTTTCGCGCTGTTTTCTCTTTCGATGTATTCCATCGTCTACTTCAAGTTGCTGATGTCGTATGTCTGACGAATGATCTGTAATCATGCACATCTGTGGTCAGATCTGTGCGAAAATGGTGTTCGCCGGACTAAAATTCAAGTAGCGGTGCCGGATCGTCGACGGTTCGTATTTGTTGATCAGGTTTTGAACAGATATTGATGCATGTATTGTTTGATTTCATGATTCATCTCATTTGTGTATGGAGAAGTAGTAAGATTAGGTTGTCAGCAAGTATGGAACTTGGAAGATTCTTGAAGAACTGTTGCATCAGTATCTTGTACATCATGCTTTAGTAGCTGTACACTGCTCTATATTTGGAAAATGGTGTACTGTTAACTTGTAAATATGCACTTTATTCGGTTAGCTATATATGATTGTTTAATAGTTACTCAATGATATAGAAGGTGGCTTATTCGGTAAGCTTTTATAGAAGAGCTTTATATTAAAAAATCAAGTTTTTTCTCTCCAAACATATATCTTAATTAAAAAAACACATTATTTCTATCTATAAAAAAAACCTTCTTAAAAAAAACCTTTATGGATGGTTTGGTTTGCAGGAATGGAACGAAATTGGGGGATTTGGATTTGAAAGCCATTCCAATCCCATGTTTGGTTTGCGGGAATTTTAGGATTTGAAATCCAAGGATTCCTTTGAAATCCCGTAAGGGATGGATTTGGAAATGGATGGTATTTCAAATCCAAATCCGGTGGGATTTCATAAAATGCATACTACTCTAATTTTAGCCGCCTCCTTCCCTGTGGAAATCCTTTGAACATCTACATCCAAGAGCTCTTGAAGATCGATGACCTGGTTCAAATCCGTGCACTTTTAAGAATCGGTATGGATCGAGTGTGTAATTCGACGGCGGCGGTTTCCATCACGAAGTTCCGGAGGGAGTGGGTATTGAACTCGTAACTAGCGGTTTTACGTTGTGCCTTCCACACTTCACCGTCGAAGTTGAGAGATGCCACGGCTGAGGAAGTCTTCAAGGAGAGAAATGAACCGGGTTCCCTTTGGGTAGTTATCAAAGTTGGTCTTGAGCATGTATTCGACGTTTGCAGGGTTGGCAGTGATGATGCCATTGATTTTCCGGGACGGTGGAAGTCGACGGTGTTGGTTGTACAGTGAGAGAGGACTTGGGGTGCTCCATTCAAGAAAACAGTGGCGATTTAGGAGAAATTCGGGTAGGGTTCCTAGTATTGGGTAAATTTTGAAGCCGATTGGAGTGGTGGATTTGGATTTTGGGAAGAAGAAACAGTAGATGAAAAGAGAGATTGAGAAGATTAAAATGATAGATCTAAACACACTACAAAGATTATAGATCGAGTGATACACCCCTCCTGCTCCGACCATCCCCACCTCTATCTCGGGCCATCCTCTACCCTGGTTCTCCCTTTCTTGCTCTGTCTCCTTAAGTCCTTGCTCACTCGTTCCTCACAACAACTTTCCCTCTCCCAAACGTCATCTTCCTCCACCCCCGTTGTTCGTTTTTCTATATACACATCAAGCAGATCCACGATCTTCTCCAATGTACGTCCTGCCTCAAAGTCAGACCTCCATGGCTGGTTAGTCCAAGTATTTACAATTAACCAGTTACATCGATTATGGACAAATAATTGTCAATACAAACAAATATTTTTCCATCCATAATCAGGAGCGGCATTAACCAGTTTCGACTATTGTTGACCATAACCAGGACAATCTTAACCAGTTACACCCTTCCCCGTCTCTACATGAGATTCACAAAGAATTTGTATTAGATTTTTGTTACAGTGAGTTTTATCGAGGTTCACTTTTTAAAAGGTGCATGGGATTTTTATTACAAGGGAGTTTTGAGGTTCTTTTTTTAAGTATATATATACATATACAAAAAATAAAACTCACACACACTTCCCACCTTTTGTGAGGTTGGATCCCTTGATCTCTATGAAGGTTGGTAATAAGATTTGTACAGTAGAAATAGTGTTTTTGGGGATTCATGAGACCAGAATTCAAGTAGTTCGACCAGATTGTCGACAGTGTGGTTGTTGATAAGGTTTTAAAAACACACGTACTGATGCATATATTGTTTCATGATTCGTCTCATTTGTGTACGGAGGTTGAAGATTCTTGGAGACTATGAAGTTCACTTTAGTTATATTATAAAACATTTGATTTTGTTTCTTAAAAAAATATTTTTTCAAGAAGATAAGTATAACAATATTAATTATAAATCAATAATTTATATAATATTTCAATTTTTGTAATATTCAATTTAATTACTTATATAAGCAGTTAAGAAGGAAGCTTGTAGAGTTTTTAAAAACATATGGTATTGTGTGACAAATATAAATTAACTTATTTTTGAGTACATATTTGCATGAATATAAGCTAGTTTATTTTAATAAAATATTTAATTTGATTATTA